TTTCTTATATATATATTATATATATATATATATATATATATATATATATATATATATATGCTTCATTTTCCTCTTTTTGGGAGCCATTATATAAAAACCCTAATTTTTCTGGTTTTTTTTATTATAAAAAATGACCCTTCCTATTTTTTTTTTTTTTTTTTGTCATGACTTAAAAATCTTCACATTTCTAAGTTTTTTTTTATTATTCTATAAAATGTCTCCTTTTCCTCTTGGCCATTATTTAAAAGCTATCACATTTTCTTACTTTTTTTTTAAATTTCTCTACAATGTCTCTGAAATTGTTGGCCTTTTTTCATTACATAAAATATCTCCTTTTTATTTTTTTTTTTTTTTGTCCGTCTAAAAACACACTCTTTCACGGTTTTTATTTATTTATTTTTTTTGTTTATTTAAAAATATTTTCTTTTCTACCCCACCTCACTTAAAACTCTCTGTTCTTGCTTGTTTCGTGTTGCCTATTTCGTGACTTGCTGTCCAGGTCTCGTGTTAGTTGTCACGTGATTTTGTTGATTCGTATGGTCCAGATGAAAAGAGAAAAATGAGAAAACAAAGCAAAATATATACGGTGCGATTTCTCAATATCGGGTAAAATATACGCCTGGGGAAGGTAGGAAAATTCAGCGGCCAAAAACCTTTTGAAGTTATCGCAACAGAAATAAAAAGTGTATTAATGATAATAGCAGCAGCAGCATCAATGAAATCACCTCAGTTCAGAACATCAGAAAACAACGACCAATCTTGTGTTACTTCATTTAACTTGTCTGTGTTTGTTCGCCTACTCGCGTGTGAACGCACACTTTCGTCAAAGGCCAAAATATCAGGAACATTTAAGACAAAAATTAGAAAAAAAAAACAAGCAAAAAAAAATCAAAAAACCGATTTCTGAGTAAAATAGAGAACGACAGAAAAAAAATCAAGTAGAAACGAAAAGCCGCCATTCCACGATCAGCCGCCATTCCCTTCGTATTTCATCGGTGAGATACAAGTTTCATTTGAGCAGCTTCTTCCCATGAACCGACTCCCAAGATTATGCTTCCCCGATCACTACAATCTTGACCTGTTCGAGTCAAGGTCAACCGTTATCTTCCCTACATAACCTCATAAACTGCCCCCTTACCTCTTACTCTGTAACCCTCTATCTCGAGTGGCTCTTGGGGGTTGTACAGGATGAACATTATTGTCTTTTGAACAGGAGTAGAGTGTCATCCCTTCTTTTTGTTGTTCATGATGACAGTCGTCTTTGGGTATAGAATCCAGAGGTTAGCAGTGAATATTTCGGAGACAGTAGGAAAGCGTTGTTCAGGTTAGCAGTGGATATTTTGGTAAAAGTAGCAGAGCGTAGTTCTTCCTTCTGTTTCTCTTCGCCTGACAAGCTGGAACTGGACATTCGGGTAGAGTAGACAAAATGGCCGCCTTTATACACGACGGATTGAATATTCTACGTCTTCTGATTGGTTAACCTTCTATTGATGGACTATAAAGTGAGTCAAGTCATTTGGGCTAACTCACTAGTAGATAGATATACACAAAAAAACTGCAACACTTTTCTGTTTAGCTTCTGGTTCCTTCTAAAGTCGCTTCAAATGAAATTTTACTTCTTTTTTTTTTTTTCAAATCAATAGTAGATAAAGTTGTCTATCGTCCGATTCACACGCCTCCCTCGTCTTTTGAAAAAGTGTAGAGGGTCATCCCTTGTTTCATCTTTAGGATTGAGTTTCCGGTTCCTTTTAAAGACTACTTCAACTCAATATTTCTAACGTCTCCGCCTGAACTCTGAAATTTTACTTATTAATTTTTTCTCACTCTCAATAGGAGTAGATAGGTTCGTGTATCGTCCGGTTCACACTCCTCCCCGGTCTTTTGAACAGGAGTAGAAATTTATCCTTTGATTCCTGTTTAGAAATACAAATACAAATCACATCCAACGCCAAGCATTCATTGGTTAATTAATCACCACTACGTTATTATAGACAATTTACAAATCGCAGCAATGCGACAATTTTGTAATCGCTCTATTTTTATGTAGTCAGTTTTGTGCACTTTTGGGAGAAACGGATCACAGAAGCTTTCTCAAGTCTCCCTAAAGCTCGCTTGCTGATTGGTCTATGCCAAACAATCAGATCGTCTGCACGTGAAGAATAATTCTTCCCGCGCAGCGATCTGGAGCCTATAGTCACCCTGTATATACTCACATAATCTTTTCTAACACAGCAAATCTTTTAAGAACAGTCATTATAAGAGACTCTCATGAACATTATTCCAGTGAACTTTGAAATACTAAAATAACATTTGAAGAGAGACAACTCTTGTTTATTTCAACCTTTTCTTACTTAAATGCGTGTTTTCTTTCACCTCATTGTTTGATATTGTACATCTTGTTAAATACATATTTTATGTGTAACAATGTCTTTGGCTTATCCTTTTTTGCATTGGCCCTGTTTCCTAATCTAAAGTTAAATTAATGTGGTGAAGTCCGCCACAGCCTCTTACGTTTTAGTGGAATTATCGTTTTTTTGTTGTTGTTGTTGTTTTTTGTTTTTTTTGGGGGGGGGGTTGTTTACGGATAGAAATTTTGGGGATCTTTTGCCACAAATGGATAAATAATGTCATTCCCTTATGGCCTGCCACAAGCCAGAGAGAGCTACGACTGCTAAAAGTCTGTGATCGATCTCTTTTTCATAACTTGGACCCCATAGTATTAAACCGATGCACAACTTTTTGTTTGCCTCTCCAGCAATGGGCACTAATCTTCACTCGCATTTCACAGATTGTGTCTGTAATCTTGGGCAGGTTCCCATATAGTTCTTCATTGAGTACAGTGGTTTCTAACCGTAGCACAAGGCCGAAAATATGGGGCACCCAATGAGGATCGAACTCACTGATTCAGTCGTAACTGATCCAGCGAGAAAAGCTTACTATTACACCACATCGAAATACCCAGGTGATTTTCTAAGCGTAGCTTGGATGTGGCACAGACTGAAAGTATGAGGCACCCAGTGAGAATCGAACTCACTAATCCAGTAGTAATTAATCTACCGCGACAAGCTTGTTAACCATTACACCCTGTTTAGGTGTTCTTCATTTGGATATAGTGATTTGCATGTGGCAAAAAACTAAGCTTATGTTTTTTTTAGAGATTCTTGATATCCCGCTCTCACCCCTTCACTGCCGAAACTTCTAAATGTAGCCGTCTCTTCTACTCTAATAGCTTCATGTCTCGCACCTCTTGCCTGTGGAACTCCCTTCCCTTTTCCTGTTTCCCTGTGAGCTATAATCTCCAGCTATTCAAGTGTAATGTCAATCGACTTCTCCAGTTGCCTTGATCTATCCACTACCTTCATCCTTTCTTCTATCACTCCTATCTGACCTTGCTCTAAATTTTCTGTAACCCCTTGCGTCCTAGTGGCTTCCCGCCTTGCTTGGGGTGAAATGCTTAAAAAAAAATATCTACAAATCTAGCATTCGTCCTTGTTTGAAGTGATTTTCCATGCGTAGCTCAGATGTGGCACAAGGCCGAAAGTATGGGGCACCCAGTGAGGATCGAACTCACTACTCAGTCGTAATTGTTCTAGCAAGACAAGCTTGCTAACCATTACACCGCCTTGAGGTGCCCTTCTTCATTTGGATATATGTTGTTTCCAGTTGACATCTTGCGCTGTAATCACTCTGTACATATTATCGAGGGTTTTTTTGTTTTTGTTTTTTTGTTTTTTTTTTTACTTGAGGGGTTGATAGTGATTTAGCGAATGCCAAACAGCTTGACCCGTATAAGAGCACTGTTTCTACGGTTGGACTTAGAGAGTTGCATTTTTCAGACTTCCAAGTGGTTTTCTTTTTCTTTTTTTATAGTGGTATCAATACCATTGCAATTCTAGCATCTGTGTCTTTCTGTGAGGAGGCCAGTCATTATATCAGACATAAAAAGCAATCATTCACTTGTCAACTTTAAATGTTATAAGATCTCCTTCTGTGCGGTTGAACAAATAGAGGAATAAGCACGTCAAAAATAGGTTGTTGATAAGTAATAGGAAGGTGTGAAGAACCATGATCCTGAAGGTTGTCAAACTAATTTATTTGAACGTCACAGGCTTCAATTTTTCGATTATTTTTCGTCAAATTTGTTTGTCTATATTCTTAGCAATAATTTCATTTTTGTCATTTTTTTTAAAAATGCTATGTCACTTCGGGACGTAGGCGATCATGGTTCTCCACAGATTCCTTTTCTTCATAATCAGTGAATCGTCATGACTCCTTGAGAAAGTCTATACTCTACTTTTTTTTTCTGTTTTTTGGTTTGTTTTTACCGAAAACTAGTCCCAAAAGCCACATAATGAAGAGGGCTAAAAAAAAAAGTTGTTGCTTTCTGTTAACATCTCAACAATTTGGGATTTTACTTCTTTTAAACTAGTTACCGCCCAGTGTTTGACAACCCAGTTTACCCTGCTATTTACAGGAATAGATAGGTTCTCCTGTCGTCCGGTTCACACTCTTTCCTGGGCTTTTTGAACAGGAGTAGAGGTTTATCCCTTGTTTTTTGTTTAGGGTTGTATCTCCGGTTCCTTCCAAAGTCTACTTTCACACTATATTTCTAACGTCTCTGACTGAACACTGAAATGTTAATCACTATTTAAATCTTGACACTACACAGTTACCCTCTATTTTGAGTGGATCTCGGGCCTTGTATAAGGGGAAACTAAGTAACAAACCATAGGGGAAGCAGAGATAGATTCGTGTCATTCTCAAGTGCATTAGTACGGAAGTGAACGCAACAGACTGGACTGAAATTTCAACTCATCTTGCCGATTCTATTTTCGGCGCCGATAGCCCTCAAGCCACCTGCACATGATAAAATCTTACATCGAATCATTCTGTTAGTTCTTCGATGAAGAACTGTTCGCAAAGATTACACATGACCAGGCCTGTTTCTGCTCAATACGGTCTTTTGTTTATTAAGCATACAATATTGTTGCATCTCTCAG